GTGTGTGTGTGTGTGTAACGTATATATATATATGTATATATATGTATATGTATATATATATATATATATATATAGTGTGTCAGTGTGTATGTCTGTCTGTCTGACTGTTTATGATTCTATGTGAAGATGCAGTACAGATATATATCTGTGTATCTTATCCCTCTACTTCGGTGAGAGTGACCATATTTTATGTTTTGCTTTTTATATATTTATATATGTGACCGTGTTTGGTTACTCGCAGATTGCTGTACTCAGTATATGTAGTACTTTTTTTTGGGTTCGATTGAACTATGTCATATTTTCGATATGCAGGTACATTCGCCTACAAAATTCAATACAAGTACCTAGTTCAATACTAAAACATGATGTATATAACCTGCACATCTCTACTCTGTATAAACCGTAAGGATATTTATTCTCTGAAAGCATGTGTCCATATCTTTATCTGTATGATATACCTGCGTACTCGAGTATATAAACCGAATATACGTCAGCAGAATAACTACCCTATACATCTTTGAAGTGCTCATGTTTATTATATTTACATCTGTATATGGGTAATATGCACAGGTGTTGGTGTAGTCCACCTCTTTCAGAATCCTAGACGCTCTACATCGAGAGAGAGAAAATCGCGCAAATATATATATATTCGTATCCGCGATATATGTCACCTCAGGGAGATATCATTTTATTAAATGAACACTTTTATACGTTTATTCATTTCAAATGAGGGATGTCATTTCATTAAATGAACAATTAAATACATATGTTCATTTTATATCAAGATATCATTAATTTTTAAAGTGAACATTTTTACACACTTAATCATGTGAAGTGTGTCGGTATACTGTGGTCGACGCTGAATCGTAGTGCCGCGTGCATGTGCTACGGCCTTTCCATCGCAAGTGTATATTTGCTTATGCACAAGTGATTTATAAGTTGCATACGCGAATGATTGGTATATTCAACATAGAGTAGTATGTGTACACACCTATTTACGTTTTGTCTACCATGACACCTTGTAAACGTACCAAGTTTGTGTATATTTGCATTCATATAAGCTTATGGTTCAACCTATGCTGCTTGCATCACCGTTGTTTCGTTTCTGCAGTGGTCGTGCCAAGTATCATTTTCATGCGGGAATGCGCATATTTGGGTCCTTTTTTTTTGGGCTTGGAATTGCCTGCAATAGAAACGACAATTTAGAAGTGCGGCTATATTTATATCTATGAAAGTTTTGACCCAGCTATACACCCTGCAACCCCAGCCTAATTCATTTCAGCAACCCTAGAAAGCTCAATTAATTCGCTGATGTAGTATCCACACCTCCTGAGCTTACAAATACCATCCGACAGTGACCGAGTTCATGGATGTGCCATCAAATCCATCAAGCAATACACATCAATCCTTGAGTCAGACACTTTTACTGTTGGGTCTAAATCGGAGTACACCAATGCAAATGGCTGATCCACATGTCCCTCGCACCCTTTGCAGGCGTGCCCACACTCGGCAATTACTTCGGCGCGTTGCAGAATTGGGTCAGAATGCAGGACGAGACCAAAACGGTGAGTGTACTGTCGCGTGTGGGCCCATTCAGTGTAACTGTTCCGTTCTTGCCATGCGATAAAATAAACCCTAAAACCCTAAGCTACTAAGGTTGCGGTGGAGTCTCTAGCCCAATTGACTGCATAGTGCCGCAGAGCGTACTTTATGGTGCAGACTTTTCCCTTCATGAGCGTTTACTGTGCTAGTACAGTATGCCTATAAGGTGATTTCCCATTTACTGTGCTTGTATAGTATAGCTATGGGGTGATCTCCCATTTACTGAGCTTGTATAGTATATCTATGGGGTGATCTCCCATTTACTGTGCTTGTACAGTATGCCTATGAGGTGATCTCCCATTTACTGTGCTTGTATAGTATATCTATGGGGTGATCTCCCATTTACGAGCTTGTACAGTATGCCTATGAGGGGATCACCCATTTACTGTGCTTGTATAGTATATCTATGAGGTGATCTCCCATTTACTGTGCTTGTATATTATATCTATGAGGTGATCTCCCATCTACTGTGCTTGTATAGTATATCTATGGGGTGATCTCCCTTTTACTGTGCTTGTATAGTATATCTATGGGGTGATCTCCCATTTACTGTACTTGTATAGTATATCTATGGGGTGATACCCCATTTACTGTGCTTGTGTAGTATATCTATGGGGTGATCCGAAGGGTCAGGCATATCTTAAGGCTTGACAACTGTTTTCATGCCCTCTACTCACCCCAGTCTCTGTACATGGTCGTAGATCTACACGCATTGACTATACCGCAGAATCCAGGTACGTTCAATGTATGATTTAAATCGTGTATAGGATGACTATGCAGTGCTTGTATCTCTTCCCATTTGTCTCTGCATTTTTTGAGTTTCCCATTAGTTTCTTTTTAATATCGAGGTTGCTCTGTATGCGATTCTTCATTTGAAGAACGTGACTGCTCGATTTGCATAAATCGGTCGCATATATCGCACCCATAGTACCCAAATCTCTCCCGGACATTGAAATTCGCTTGTATCCCTTGTATTCGATTTCGGGAAGTTTCTCACATGTTTTGGGATATACGCAGACACGCTTCGGGTGGGTATTCGGGACATGGCTATGACGCTACTGGCGATTGGGCTCGATCCCCAGAAATCAATCATATTTCAGCAGTCCAAAGTGCGGCAGCACGCTGAACTCGGGTGGATTCTGAGTTGTATATGCCCATATGGCATGCTGGGAAAGATGACGCAGTGGAAGGTGTGTACCAGCCTGTACAGTCCTGTTGAGCTCGCTGTATAGCTTGTACAGTCTGTTGAGCTTGCTGTATAGTCTGCCTTGGCGTAGCATAGAGCGGGGGCAGTTAGGGTGGTATGAGACGATGCATAACTACGTTCGCGCACTATCTCCGTATAACTGCGCGCTCTGTATGCCGTATGTACGTTGTTGTAGATCATATATGCTATTGCAAATGTACTATTCCAATGGGACCATTCAATAATAATGCATATGACGTGCAGGACAAAGGAGTGAAGCAGAACAAACAAGTCGGCCTGTTCACATACCCGGTGCTACAAGCTGCCGACATCCTAATATATAGGTATGTGTGATGACCCTAATATCTCACGTGCACATGAAGCCAGATTTCGCCCTATTTCTAGGTATATGCGTGTGTGGGATAACCTCATTTAGTGTTTAGTAGACTGTTGCTAGTATTCGAATGGTTCCAATGGTGGAAAGGTCATAACATAAGAGTCAGGTACCCATTTGCTCAGGACTTTAACGTTTTCTTTCTATAGTGCAACGCATGTGCCTGTAGGGGCAGACCAACGCCAACACCTGGAACTCACACGGGATTTGGCGGGAATATTCAACCACAAATACGATACAGATATTCTCCGGTTACCCGAGGCCATATTCAGTAAGTACCTGCGCTCGTTGCCCTGACTAGAGTACCTTATGTTCTATGGAATGGAGCAATTGTATGTGAGGATCACAACGAGCCACACAGTATTGTAGTATCTATTGCATAGCCTTTGTTAAAGTAACGCACCATGTGAAGGGTTTTACTGCACTGGTTCCGGGGTGTGTCCCGGACAGTTTTTCTGGGTGCAAGGTTCCTCCCCGCTCTGGGACGTCCACTGGTTGCACTACATGTACCAAGGACTGCACTACACATTTGAGACTAGAACCGGCGCCTGGGTCTTGCTGCGCGAAGATGAGTCGTGAGCTCGCAGAGTCCGCATATGTACGCACTCGATCATGTGTGTTCTCCTTATCAGCCCTTTCGAATGTACTCTTATTGTTTGAGGTATACTAGTTTTGGCTCAGATTATAGTATATACCACGGCATTTCTTTACAGAAAATTGTATGTATTTAATTAGTCATTGATGGTACTCAAGTCATGAGTTTTACTATTTGTGGTCGCTCATATCCTCATATGTCACTTCGTTTATATTAATATCACAATAGACTCCTCTGAGAGAGTCATGTCGTTTCGCGAACCCACCAAGAAGATGAGCAAATCAGATCCCCACGACTACTCTAGGATAAACTTAAATGGTAAGTCCATGGTGAAGGTGTGAACTCTTGTGTATCTAAGTGCTCCTGCGCGGTTCTATATCAGGTTGAATGAAAAGAGTAGCAGATCACTGTTTACAATTACATGCCTCACACTCTATATACTTACGCGTAGAAGAACGCGAGTGCGTCATTGGTGAATATATTGTACTTATTTGCCTTAGCTTTTACCATTCAACGGTACCAGTTGTTGTGCGAACCGCTCCGCTTCTCTGTGTTTTGAAAAGCGTATCTTGAGTACTACAAAATGAACGCTCATTCGCAAGTACATATTCGCCCACACACACTCAATTGACCACAGATTCTGATGATTTAATCATGAAGAAGCTGCGAAAGGCGGTGACGGATAGCGAAGACGGAATAGAATACGATCAAGCCAACAGACTGCCGCTAGCCAATCTGATAGACCTGGCTGTTGCCGCAACTGGTAAAGACAGAGAGTTCACTGGCTTGATCTGTTTCTCGTTGTACTCTCAGTCGTGGTTTTGGACACAAGTATGTTTTTATTTATTGGAATGTACTTCCTTGTTCGTCTGATTGCACCTCGGGCGTTTATTCTGCGTAGGTAAGACACGGGAACAAGTCTGCTCAGAGTGCTCCGGCATGAACAAGCTACAATTCAAGGAGTATCTGGCGCATCAGCTGATAGCAATAGTTGCACCCATCCGGGAAGAATACGCTCGTCTTGAGAGCGATAGGTATGTGGTGCTCGGTATGCCACCTGAACAGGGCACCTTTCCTACATGTGTGGAAGCGAAGAATTTATAACTGAACCCAATCGATACATAAGTATATTCTCACCTACTTATTGAATGTATCGTCTGCTCACCTGTCTTCTAATAGTACTATGCTATGCCACATTCTTTGGCTGTGTATCAGACCATTACTCGTAGAGAGGACGCTCATACCCATGCCCCGAAGCTAGTAGATATCTCTATACATATAGACACAGATATATATGTGTAGGTATGGGTCTCGGGCTATACCCATATAGTGATATACCATCCTACTCTAACTCTTACCCTGGTATCTACACACTACCTATGGTATTATACCTCGTAGTAGTGTACAACCCTATCCCCAAATAGCCACTTCCTTTTCCATACGAGAGGAGTAGAGTGATATATCCATAGGTAGAGATATCTAGCCATCTATATATGTGCCCTAAAACTTTAATTTACCGACGAGTGGGCTGCACTAGCAGCGTTGCGCTTCTCTTCTCACTTTAAAGTTCAACCACAGGAAAAGAAAATCACACACTCCCAATAACCGTGACTCTTGTACAAAAATTCATAGTTGTGTTTGTTTACGCTATTCCAGGAAGTTCTTTGATGGCTGTACTTTGTGCACAATCTCAGCTTCATGAATGCCTGCATTGCTAACACCTTTCAACAACTTACCATCCCCTTTGCTTTGTTCAGGGGTTATGTCGATGCGGTACTCAATGAGGGCTCGTCGCGGGCGTCTGCCATAGCTGAGCAGAACATGGTTCGTATCAAGGAAGTCATAGGAATAAATTAAATCATGTCTTTCACTTGTAGTGCCGGTAGTGTTCACACACCTGCACCTGGACAGGACGCACTCTACTGTCCTCTACTTTGGATCTACGGTTAGGACTTTCGGACTTGTCCTATTAATGGGCTGTAGGACGCCGAACGGGTCTATCTGACGAGACATGTGAGAGCTAGATTTGGCATAAGGGCTAGTCCGTCCCGGTAGTAGGACTACAGACCACGAGTCGAGTATCTTGTACTATGCGTAGTTGAGGTAGCAAAAAATCTACTTCAGTTGAAGCAATAGTAAACTTGGTGGACGGCCTACTACACATTACTTAATATGCATTGAGAACTGTGATACACGCCGTCTGATAAGACCTTTTCTATACACTCAGTATCGCCTCAGTAATGGCTGCGAAATTATGTCCCGAAGCAATTATATTCCTGTACCTAGTATTAGTCACCTCTTAGTACTGGCTATAGAGCCTAGGTGACCGCAAGTCAGTGGGTTATGTTGTGTGTTATGCAGGTTTGCGAGCGAATATAGAAACGACAATATTTAAATCTCACCCGTTCCCTACTTTATATTAGGTTGTGCCGAATCGGCAAAGTTGAGGTAGAATTTAGTACTTACATTTCACGTTCCCAACCAGTAGTACTTACATCTCACGTTTCTTACTGGATTTGGTAGTGTCGATTAGGCGAAGTAATGGCAAACTTTCAGAACGATAGCTGGATTTTCATCTGGCGAAAAAATCGCAAATTGGTTGAGGGGGTCTATGGCATTCTGCTAACCGATTGGATAAAATACTTGTTATACTCGATTCGTTACATTTGAAAATGAAAAGTAGGAACCAATGCATGCAGGGATACAACACATAGTAACGGCAGATCTCTGATATATTGCGACTTTTTATTCAGGTATCCGTATTTACCCAATAGGCTCTGTATTAGAATCGATGCGCTACGCGATCGAGACCCAACTTAGAGACGAAGAAATATAGTATCAGTCATATTGATATTTACCTATCAGTTTGAAACCCCAGTGGTAATGTACTTCGCAGTCTTCATCTGAAGGCACAGGTTCGAGTCCTGTCACTGTCAAAATTCTGCAGTGTGGCCGAGTGGTCTAAGGCGCTGTGTTCAGGACAAACCATTATTTTTCACAGCTTTTTTACATAAAGACACCAAGAGAAGAATATGAGCTAGAGTATCTGAGAACATTAGTCGTCTAACAGTCCTGTTGAAAGCCTACGTGGAAACAAACCTGATGTTTAAGATAAGAAAAACAAGATATATTTTCATCCAGTGTTTAACCCAGTGGTAATGTACTTCGCAGTCTTCATCTGAAGGCACAGGTTCGAGTCCTGTCACTGTCAAAATTCTGCAGTGTGGCCGAGTGGTCTAAGGCGCTGTGTTCAGGACAAACCACTATTTTTCACAGCTTTTTTACATTACAGCTTTTAAAAAGTAAAGACACCAGGAGAAGAATATGAACTAGTGTCTGAGAATGATAGTCACCTACAACAATATATTGTCCTGCTTATAGGGCTACGTGGAATCAAACCAGGTGTGTAGCGAATATATAAAAATTGTATATATATGAGCTGGCATCCAGAAACGAATTCTAATGTGTGTAAAAGTCTGAATACTTAAATTACTTCCAATGAAAAAGGCTTGCTAAACGAGCTATATAACATACTGAGACCTATGAGTCTTCCATCAATAATCTTACGTTCTGTTTTAAATAAACCAGGTGTGTAGCTAAAAAAATTGATGTATGTGAGCTAGTATCCGGAAACGAATTCAAGTGTATGTAAAGGTCTGAATACTTGAATTATTTGCAATAAGATAGTTTACTAAAGGAGTTGTCTAACAGACTGAGACCTATGAGTCTTCTATTAATAATCTTATGTTCTGTTTAGAAGGCTACGTGGAAGCAAACCAGGTGTGCAGTTAAAAATAAATAAAAATAGGTGTATATGAGCTTGTGATCCCGAAACGAATAGGTGTATGTTAAAGTTTGAATGTTGCTGAGTCGACAGCTCCGGAAATGAGCGTGCATCAATACCGAAATGAGTCTAGGGGTTTTCCTTGGTCTCAAACTGATGTTCGTCAATGGTATAATACTGGATTGCCATATTGTTGGATAAAGTTTTGATATCTTGGCGAAATTGTTCCCTTGCTGTCTCAGAAGTTGCCTGATCTCTATAGGGGTATAACCTGCTAGTTATGTACTATTTCCTGTCGTGATTATGTCTGGTCATTGCCACCTTCCAGTCCACTAAAATCTTACTGCTTTGAAGGGGTTCTCCTTCCAAGGATTCGTACCTTTGGCATGAACGATGTTGAGCCCATCTCAAATATCAGAGCTTCACGACAGTCTTCTTATTGGGTGTGAATCATGTGATTCTGTTCGCATATCTCTTGCTATGTGCGATTGGTGAATTGTTAAGTTGCCCACATCATATTCTTCATTTGGTATCTCCTCTGCATGTGTGTGTTTCTACATATGGTATCTCCTCTGCATGCGAATAAACTCAAGTGTATGACTGGCAAAATTAGTGTTACAACACGTACATACATATCCGAACATAGACCTATGTGAATGATACAATTTGATTACAAACATCGAGCATTTTATAGTTCGGATATCATTTGATACATGTATAATATGATTGGTGTACCTGTTTTACATGACAAATAAGATGATTATTCGAAACCATATTATTGGAACCTTTATAAATTATATACATACCAGTGATAAGAAATGTTGTTGGAATTCGTACCTCGTAAGGTTTCGTATGGAACGATGTTAGGTATCGAGTATGATCAGACTTGACCTAATCTGATGCTCGATATCACTGAACACTTGAATTAATTACAATGAAATAGTTCTTGAAACGAGCTATCTAACAGACTGAGACCTATGCGCCTCATAATCTACAGTATATAGTACTCAGTTACCTATATCTAGTAAAAGCATACGTAACTGAGGTAGCGTGTTGTACGCATATTCCAAACTACACGTTTACACGACTAACCGAACCATTGCAATTTTATTTATTTATTTGACAGGGGGTCCCTTAGAAAATAATCATCACGAAATCTATCACGTAAATACTTCTTGTATCGTTTTCCTACAAAAAATATTCCGTCGTGCATTAAGAGGAAAACACAATCATTTATATTAGAAACAAAAAGTTTTGCACTTCGAGCATTATTCGTGAAACCGAGAATATTTGTGCCTCATGAGGCAGAATAACAATTAGTAAACATGTAACGTGCTGGTGGCGTAGATTATATAGTATGTATTGACAGAGGTTATCTCAAGCTTTATCTCAGCAATTTTATATTGATATTGGAATCGAGGGGTTGGTCGGGTTTAGGAGAAACTTAGAAAGACCCCCTTAAACCATTTCTTCCTCGCAACGAATTTCTTTGGTGCTTTGCAGGTATAATTTTATTTTCTAATACAGTTTGCTTGTAACGGCGAAGGAGGCATAGCGACGGACATGTATCACTATCAGATATTATTGGTTTATTTTATTCGTGATACGTGGCAAAATATCTTGCAAAGGTGTATAAACTAACCATAAGTACGTTTACAGCATTCCTCCGTACTTTAAAATCCCGATACTTCCTGCCTGCGGAAGATGTCGGCTCAAGTGAATTCCAGGCCAATCCCAAATTTTTGTCTTTTCAAAAAAGTATATCGGTATGAGGGAACCTAGTGATTCAAATATTCGTACACTATTTATGATGGGATATGTTTAGAATATGGTCTGGAAGTAAACCAGAAACTACCTCCGTTACAAGGTCGATGATAACATCGGCCAACACTCGACATCTCTTCAGTGATGAGGCGCATCTCACATGTACAACTACCCCTTATATGATTCCGCTCGGTACTCGTAAGCGTTGAACTGTATACAACGAACCAGACAAGTCCATTGATGTGGACGCTGACCAAAGTTGGTGCGGAGTGTTGTTGCGGCAAGATTCTCCGTCTACTCCACATCCCTCAGCACCCGCTATTGGTGGATGTGTATTGATATAAATTCAGCAATTGCCACAGCTAACGACAGCCCATTAAGTTATTTTGAAACCTCTGCGCACGAAGTACCGAAGTGGTCGTTCAGGTTTTCCTCTCATAGCCGGTTCTCTCAGGAGGCGAAATGCATCTTTTGTTTTGTTTTTGAGTTGAACTAGCACGATTAGCCGCGAGCGTAGAGTACAGCCTATGATACTATACTCAGAACTCGAGTGCTATACTTAGTACTTATGCACCCTAATACCGAGTGTGTGGCATATTTGTGTCAATTCACATACGTCAACATATTCCACTTACATATAGAATAAACTATCAAGTTTACGTTGATAGGGTTCATCTGCATGCATTTATCAACGTCACAATGCAGTTCTGTGATACTTGGAGTGTCTCTGCTGCTTCTGTAGTGAGACTTTATATTGGAAGTCCGAATTCTGATATACTAAAACTGCGAAGTGTGGCAACTGACTACAGGGTCGGCTGATCTGTTGACAGGTATTTCGTGTAGGGTGTGTTGCGATTCATAAGCCTATGAAATGCAGAGTCAATTTGTTGTGTACTTTATTCTTGAACTTTGCTCAGTTTACCTACCATAATATATTCACATTCTGATCACGCACGGCTCTCCAGCCCACATAGTTACCTCGAGCGTAGAGATAGTTTGCAGTGTGTGGTGTACATCGTTGCTGACGCTTCCAAAGTCTACCTCCACAGTAGTTTTAGGCAGGACTACCATGGGCATGTAAGAGTTCGGTACCAATGGCACGACCTTTCCCCCCGCATCCAATGCCTCGACATACGGTGCAAACAATACATTCTTAGTCACGGCGAGCACCAGATGGATGCTCAAACAATCCGAATGCAAGTATGCGGTGCATGTCAGCGATGTATGGGACCGCTTATCCTTTCTCCACTCTCCTAAGTCGGTGTAGTTGTGCGACCACTGTCCTACTTGACTGTACCGGTCCCTCCGTAGCCAATACCACGATGCGGGCTGTGCAGCCACAGGTGTCTTCGATTCGGGTTGTATGGTAGTGTGTGAGCTACAGAGTGGGGCAGGGTATGTAGGCACCCTCTCGTCCAACACCATATCACTCTCTGCGCACAACCTCACGCGTACGAAGAGTGTTTCATCGTGGCGTTGGGTAGGCCATACAATTGTCTCGGCCGACGCCGCCACAGACATCGCAAGCACACCGCTGTCTATAGACAGTTCCAGTTTATCACCCTCTGAGTTGGCTACTGGTTCACCGCTGAAGTCAAAGAAGTCAATCTCCGCGCGGAGTTTGGTAGTATAGTTGCGCAACCCTCGATTGACCGCTTCAACACGCATGGTATGGAGATTAAGCTGTGGATGTATTCCGTCCCAGTTCACCATACCTGCGCGTATACCCGCCCACATCCCCGTCACAGCGAGAGTCCTGTGTGTGTACAAAAACCCTCTTAAAGCCGGCCATGGCGACTGGGTCTTCCATACTAGCATGGCTGATTTCCCACCCCTCGCACGATCCAGGAACATCTTGGATCCGAAGCCTTCGACCATGCTCTGATATTGCTTTATCTGTGCGAGGTATGCTTGTGCCAGCCACTCAGTGGTATCGTCCGGTGGTCCGTACACGTACACAGTGCTGCGTGTAGCATTCGAGTCTCTTTGAAGTGCGTTAGCGGATTCGTACTTGTGGTAATCCCACATACGGTCGGATGACTCATCGGTCGCGTCTGGGTATACTTCGGCACTCTCTTGGCCCAGCATACTCACCATATCTCGCATCTTATATGGGATTGCAGTAGCTCCTATTTCTGGGTTGAAGGATATATACAGAGGCTCCCCATCCACTGGGTCAAGACCGGGATTGTGTTCCCTATAGTAACACTCTGGCTCTAAAAAATGGTACGGGCCGTCTTTCGGTGTTAACGCATACGAATCATTGTGATCTGCCGTGCTGTTTGGTAATGTTGTATTTCGCCCAATATCCATCGAACTCTGTATGTAGAAACGAGTGGGGTCTAGAGTGCTAAGAAGACTCTCTAGTCCACTGGCGATGTCTTTGGAAGGATTGAGAGTCTCTGGCCAAAGCTCATTGCCAAAACACCAGAACAGAAGGCTGACATGTGAGCGTACCATCTTGATCATGTCTTCGGCTTGGTGCAGGTAGGAGGACGGATTGTCTGCGATTGTTTTTGTGGGTCATAATATATAGATTAGAGCTATGTCAACAGCTTTAGCATACAGAGTATCAGATGAGAATGCAGGTGAAGGTGAAGAAGCTATTACAATCTGTTACCAGCCCATCCAACAGTTCTAGATTGCCATACGATATTGTGTGAATCTCATATTGAATTAATTGAAATCGGAGGATGTTGCCCGAACTTACACTTAATAGATAATCGAATCATACATTAACCGGCATACATAGAATACTCGCGTACCATTCCACCCGAATTGGGAAGCAGACTTTAACTCAAGCTAACGCTTTGACCGAAATATAGGCCTATACATGTCTGCCCAGAGTGGCCTATACTAGACACCCCCAACAACCCAGAAACCCTACCCGGCCAGCTGTAGCTGCCAGCCCATCTGCCGTTGTTGTCACCTGTCATCCAGAACTCTTGCATCACAAGCACACCCAGTCTATCACACGCCTCATAGAACTCTGGTCGTTCAGTCAGACCCCCTCCCCACACGCGTATCAGGTTCAGGCCCGCCTCTCTGTGCAGCCGAACCTCGGCTTCATACCGGTTTGCATCGCCGGAATACCGGAGCATAGCATCTGTGGCTATCCAATTACCGCCCTGCAGGAATACCCTGTGTCCATTTATCCTGAATGCGCGTCCTTTCGTGTGGCCGTCGATGTATGCTTCAGAGGTCTTGATCCCCACATGAAACACCTCCATGTCAGACACTTCAGCTACCGACGCACCCTGTTTCTCATCTGGCCCTGTGGTCAAGCCAGCCCTCCCATGCCGTAACCGGACAGTCCCATAAGGTGTCCTGGAGACCCTCGCATTCGGGCTCGCTTTGTCCTCAACCGGCTCATCGACTGTGAACGACACATGTGCCTGGTACAGATGCGGTCCTGTCCCCAGTGAATGGGGCCACCACAAGCGCACGCAGCCCACATGAATCCCACCCACATCACCGTCACCAAACCGCACCCGCTTGGTTTCCTCTGGTTGCACCACTACCTGCACCGTGTGCCGCACGTTTAGTCCCCCGTCCGTACCATCCAGCACAAACTCTGCAGTCCCTGTGATGGGAAGGGTCGGGTGCGTATTCACTAACTCCACCCGCGCCTGCAACACGGCGCTTACGCACTCGGCCGCCTCTTCCGCTTCGTCCCGCTTTTGCTGTTTTCGTACCGGTATCCCTGAGGACCCGCTTAGGTGCAGTGTGTCTACCGTGGCATGTCTGACCAGGACATATCCCGTGTGCAGGAGACTGGCAGTGTCGTACAGTCCTGTCACTCTGTCTGGTATGCCCTGGGCCCAATCCCACCCTGCCGCAAATTGCATTGCGCCTGCATCACGCGCCAGCTGATGGTCCCTGTGAGTGTGGTAATTCAGTTTACTTTCAGTTTAAGGCGAGAATTCGGGTTTATCTCTGTGTATACAATATGACCGAAGTAAGATCGTTCTATATTTTTGAACAACCTGTACAAAAGCACGCGTACATATTTAAATAGAAGATACAAATTATTCGCAAATATTCTGATGGACGATCCTCAGAGGTAGCCATGCCTGCGAGTAACAAGAAGACCATACAACCACTCACACAACCACTCACACAACCGCTTATACAACCACTCACACAACTACTCACACAGCCACTCACACAACCACTTATACAACCACTCCAACCGTAAATCCCAAACCCTAAAACCTAAACCCTAAATCGGTCATCCGTAGAAGAACAAAGTTATATTGCTACCAACACGGTAATAAGTCATATCGACCGCGCCCGAAGCCATGAACACTAAACAAGTGCGCGAGGATGCACTATACGACAGCCTGTGAGGAATGAAAACAAACAAAAGCCCAGTGCAAACCAACTCTGAGGAGTTCAAAGTTCGACTCTCGAGCCTGACCGCGTGATGCTAACATCGCCGAACACCCCTTTGTTATAGCAGTAGGTAAGATATGTTCAGTAGTTTGGAGGGCAAAGACGACCGGCCTTCAGCTACGACATACACAACCACTTCACATGGGATCTGACCACAGACATCGCATACCCGCCTTGTCCACACGGCTCGGTTCTATTTTTAGCACACAACAGACCTCCACGTGGCCCACACTTCTCAGTGGTCAGCGCACACGCACTCGTTACTATTCCGCAGTGCTGCGGTGGCTCAACGACCACAGCTACTCGGCTCAGCTCAAGGCCAGTCACGTCGTACAGGTTGCGTGACCACATGCCTATACATGCGGAGGGGTCATGTGTGTGTGTTAAACGTTTTGAGTGGTGTGTTAGAGATGCGACAGCAAACATACCTCAGCCACACCGCAATACAAACCAGCAATACCGCATAACAGAGACTAGCACACCTCGCTGCCGTGTGCACTGGTGGTCTCACCTTCTGCTGAGCCAATCACATGGTGGGTGCCCTCTGCATCGGTCCATACAACAGTTGAGATGTAACCCGCCCCTCTCAAGAACAGCCACGTGCGGTGCGTTGGACCGTCCTGCGTATGGCTTAAAGCAGCATTCTCCAACACCGTATCCCGGTCAGGTCTGATTGTATGGGGCTGGTGCAGTTGGCTACCGGCCCTATTCTGAGTGGCCCTATTCTGAGTGACCCTGGGCTGCCATACATAGGTGTAATACGCCCTCCCTGTTTGATTGACATCAGGGACTCGCGACAGATTGTCTTTGTAGTAGAGGTCTCTCTCCGGTGTGTCCTCCCACAACAAATCATCAAAGGCGCGGTTTTCAACGAGGTTAGAGAGTACCGTACCTGGTACTGTAGCGGGGTAGCTCGTCGCATCGATTAAAGTGAGCGAGGCGTTTGGCAGAGGGTTTGCGGCGTTTTCTACTATTCTGGGGGGATGTATATGGATGGGTATACGCGTGTGTGTGTGGAACGAAGGATAAATGTAGAAATTTACGTTCAGGTTATCGTTTGTTTAAGATCCCTTAATGTGATTTTCAATGGTTTGGTGTGCGAATAAGAATAAAACATGGGATGTAGTTATGGTCAACATGAACAATCGACAGTAAGCTTATATAAATATAGGCGCTTCATGGGTATGTGTAACTATATCTACGTGATTGGACTATATCTGAATGCATAAGGTAAATAAGGTGTGCGTGTTTTGTATAATATTAGACTACTAGTATATATAGTTATATATAAACAGGTGCACAACGGTGATCAATATAGTAGTATATCTTTACGTGTATCGATGCAAATTAGCGGTTGTTTGCACATATAGTTGATTCAAAAACTTGTACAAACTTTCACACAAACACAAGAACGCACAGACGCATCTACTATCCTAGAGATATATACACTAGCACAGCATATAGCAATACATCAGAGACAAGCTCGCAACTTCTTTCTACGGATGAAACCCAACTGTACAGATTTCATCGACACTTGCTAGTGTAGCTACCAGGGCATTGAGTACAACCATTCGATCAACAACACTGTATTCGAACTAATACGTAGATACACACAAGTAGAGCACATTGTATGGAGTTTGTATTGGGGTATGTCCTCAATATGCATCGCCCATCAAACTAACGCGCATACGAGAATTGAAACTTATTTATTGATAATGATTATCGTTCAGAAGTTGTAAACAAATGAGTTTGAAATTATAGGTAGCGGGGAAGTTGGTGTTACTGATATACGTTAAATCAGAAGATACCGACATACGATTGTGTATTAATGTATACAGTTTGTGTATATGTAGAAATACAAATGAATGCTATATGCATCACGCAAGCACAACTACAAAAGCGTATATACTACTACCAATATTCCAATCGAGTTGACGTCGCTGATTGGGAGCGCATTCGTGTAGCTATGTTCGACAGGACGAGTATTCAGCAGAAAGAGATCCACACCAAGAAAAGACATTCTGTACTTTTACAGATACACATGTGTACAATGTTTGTTCCATGGCCCCGGTTCCATTGTATCCTATCGTTGTGGTTATTATATACTGGTATGTTGCATTCACGAGACGCTGCTGAAGTATCCGTGCATAATGCCATCTCCATTTGATACACACAGCATCGTTCACGTTCACAGGCAACTTTGACGCACATAGAGCACTCAAATGTAACTTTTAATGCCAATCTTCTAAAGACCATCACAGCCCATTAGATCTCATCACTCGCACAAGGGAAGTCGACGCGCACTACAGTACCACAGGAAGCAATGGGCAAACTGGCATCTCTACATGTACGTATAGATGGTAGAGGTCCGTTGATTCTGTATAGTGCCAAAGAGTACCTGAGCTCTCTGATAAGACTTACCTGTGAATACACGTCAGTGGGCGTTCGATGGTATCACGTGACAGTGCATGCACGATCTCAGCTGAAGCTTTAGTAATACTCCAATTCGGTAGAGGCATCTGTCTATGCGCATACACGATCGCAATGTGCCATGTGAAGAATACAACTACCACCACCGAACCACAACTCAACATCACGGAACGATCACTCCTGACTTATCTCAATATAAATAAATCCAGTCCAAGCTAAAGCTACTAGAAAGGTGCAAACCCAGATGTATCTATTGTATTAATACATACGTATTTACGCTTCTTGTATAACTTACCGATAACCGATTTGGACAAATCACTGATTAACTGATAAGTATGTAGTTAACAAATTATACTTTAAAAAATATTGAATTTTTAAACGAAACGGACCACAAAACACAAACGGATACTACTGAGTGTATTTACTAGCTCACTCGCGGGCATAAACGAATGGCGTAAACTCGCATACAGTTGAGCTTACTGATTCATTCAAGCTCGTGAACGGATGGAAGACATAATCACATACACGCCACTAGTACCATAGTGTATAGTATGTCTCTGATAACTCTAGTTGTCTAACCCCGTCACGAGCGTAGCATTAGGAGCAGGTATCGCTATTCGGGAGCATTGAGAGAATCTACTTATGCTGTCAACGGATAAACCTTGTACACGTTTAACACAGTGGTGATGAGTCACGCCTTAGCGAAGAAGATGGAGCCCTTCGATGAGGAGATGAGATTAGTTGATGCGCATTGTCACATACAGTTCGACGGAACGTTCACTCGGTATGTATGTGGGCGTACGTATTGATTGTTGTGGTGTACTGCTTGATATGGGATCTGGTGGGGATAGTTGCAGCTGGTGTTCACTCTGCTGTTGCCTATACCGATTTCTACTGTGGTATAGGCAAACTCTGCGTACCACCCTCTCACGCAACTGTACTGAGACTTGCTTGATATATGGTGACTTTTGCACACATGCTATTATACGCGCTAGTTATATGTGTGTTTGATGTGCCTCGATGAGACAGTTTGTGCACCCTACAGTTTTATTAAGGGTTGTATTAGATTTTTAATGTCCTGTGCCTGTTGCCTGAATATGTGATCAGGATCTTTAGACTGGAATCTAGAAGCTGCTTTGACTATCGAGTTGTTCTGTATAATCTATTGATTTGGAATATACGTGATTTACAAGTATTTCTATATATATATATATATATATATATATATATGTGTGTGTGTGTGTGTGTAGTGTGTGTGTGTGTGTGT